TTTCAAACGGCGATTGATTACTACACGAGGAGGAGGATGCCAAATCGAAATACATAATTATTGCCATACAACATAGACTAGACTACGTCTTCGGAAAGGTCTCAACGAGACGGTTCCAACGTTTGAACGCCGCCATTCCTGTACTATACCGCAGTTCATTCTCTATGTTGACGGGTAGGATCTTTTTCCTACATACTTTGCAGTTCCTGCCTTCCCTCAGGGACCTTGATTTTACGATTTTACCCGCTGGCACTGACGACATTTTCATTGGCCAGCAGGTTAGCACGGCGGTTGATGCTGCATGCAGTACGAAAACGCGCACCCATGCACGTAAGATGGATTTAGGGATCCCCCAGGATTACGCGAAAGTAATAAAGAAAGACGAAGATATATTTCGGGGTTTCCCCGCCTTTCACCAGTTCATTTTTTACCAGTTCGGCACGAAATGGCGAAAACTGGCAGTTGAAAAACACCTGCCCGCGAAGGCGGCGAGACGTGTGCCTGCCTGTTGATGTGAATGATCGACGGAGCTCCAACCCCCCCCTCAAGTCGGGCGTACACACACGGAGCATCCTGGCCCACACTCCGCACACCACCGCCGATGGCGCGCCTCCACCGTGCCAGGATGGGCCATGAGCGGTACGCTGAGTGCATGTGCATCCTCCTGCTCGCGGCAGTGTGCGGAGCGCTAGGTAAGGAGGACCTATTACTCGTTTTGGGCGCATATTGGGTGGTGAAATGGCTCGCGCTCCAAGAGCTTGTCACGCCGACACAGCTAAATGGCATGCGGTGTTAGACGTACTCACAGCATCGACAGATTATTGCAAGCAAGAAGTTTCCGAGCAGATGGAGCGGGGAGTTTGGGGGTTCAGCAGTCGCTTTGGATTCGATTTGATGGTACCAACTTTGCCGTATATTACAGGATTGAGAGTGGGGGTATGTGTGTGTCTACAACGGATATGGTGATTGTGCGTTGTGGTTTCTCACTTGTTTTTGTTTCCTCTTTTTCCTCCTTCCTGTGTGCAATCAAGTCCTTTTTCCCCGGCTATCACGCTACCACGGCTATCACGCCACGACTTCCACGCCAATCCTGGCTATCACGCCACCCGGCTATCTCGCCTTCCGGACATCCACGTCCTTAATTACACATATACACCACGACTATCACGTCACCAGGCTTCCACGCCACATCCAGAGATACCTTACCCGAGCTATCACGCTCCATCCTTAAGTAGAAGGCTGTCACGCCCATCGTAGTTCCTACACTATACCGTTGGCGGCTACCNACATATACACCACGACTATCACGTCACCAGGCTTCCACGCCACATCCAGAGATACCTTACCCGAGCTATCACGCTCCATCCTTAAGGAGAAGGCTGTCACGCCCATCGTAGTTCCTACACTATACCGTTGGCGGCTACCGCGCCGCTGGCTCTTTTATTTCCCAACCAAGGGACCCCGCGCTCCAAGGCACCGACGCACAAAGCTACTCAACACGCTAGCGTAAGCATCAAGAGAGTGGCCGCCGTGTCTAAGCGCGCAACATGCCGGACGGAGACGGACGACAGCCTCCGAGGGGATCAGGTCAGGCTGTCCCTCCCCCCGGGGACGGCGTCGCGGACGGAGGAGGGAGCGATTCTTTCTTCGTCAACGATGCACGAGATCGAGGGGGTGCGCGAGCGGCAGGAGGGGAAGATCAGCGCGACACGATGCGTGAGCTGGTTGACCTCTTCAAGCAGGCCTTCGCGACATCGACTCATGACCAGGGGCACCGTCCCCACTTAGGCACGTCTAACAACCAGATCTTGGAACTGAGGCAGAGAGAAAAGATAGATGTACCAGTATGGAGTGATGACTATCTGAAGCACAGATTGATCGAAGTTGCAAGGCGAGTGTTCACGAGTGCTTTTGAAGCGTGGCTGGAGAGTGAGGGACTTGCTGGTGTGATGAGGAGTTCAGAGGTCCCTGTTGGTGCAGCTGGTGTGGATTTGAAGTGGTTGAGCAGCACGTTCGGAGAGGAGAGAGTGAAGCAATCCAGGAAGATTTGGACGTTTATGCTAGCTAAGATCACAGCACAACC